GGGGGGGGGGCATTGAAATGCAACTGGGGTTTCGCTGAAATCCTTCTTGCAATTAAAATAGTGCATTGTTAAGCCACATTTGGCCCATTAAATTAAATTTCATTTTTATCGTTTGAGATTGTGAGAAATAGTTTCTCCACCAAGGGGTTAGAGAACGAATTACAAATGTAGATTGAAAATAAATTAGAAGATGAAGATATAAAACAAATGTAGGAAGGCTCAAACACGATATGAAATCGTTGTCCTCAAACGAATTTTGCTCCCACTAGAAAAGATTATGATGCTTAAAGGGTCATCCGGCAAAAGGTTTGAAGGATTGATCAAGCCTTGTAGAGATTCAAACACTAAGCACTTGTTTGATTCTCTAAGAACTCAAGAACACAATGGAAAAGGAATATGGAAGAAGATGGTTTTTTTTTTCTTTCTTCTCTCTTGTTTGATCTTATAAACATGTAATTTATAAGTGTTTTTTCATGCTATTTTTGATGATCAAAAACCACCTATTTATAGCCATGCAACATAGCTTCACGAAGTGGTGCCAAAATTAAGTGAAGGGCTACCAAAAAATCACCTAAACCGACTCCAACGGTCACTGAACTTATACCATGCAACTGCATGGTGTAAATCCATGCGGTTGCATGGTTAGTTAGAACCGAGGCTATTGGTTGCTATGCGATCACATGATTTTGAACAACCATCACAATCCTCCACTTGTTCAAAAACAACAATGTTCCATATTCAAATTATACGATACTCATGCATAAGGATTATATATCTTTATATTTGAATCTAACAATAGTGTAATTCAAACAAAGTAAAGTCAAAATTCAAGGTAGCACAAAGCTTTGAACCAAGTTTTTCATGTGACAATACCGGTGAGAACACACACACGAATATCACGTGTTCTCAAGTTCCTCACTACTCGCTTAACGCTTTTACGGTCTTGCGCTTATCCTTTTCAACAAACTTTTAAGAGAGATACTCCAACTCTCTATTAAGGCAGCACCACCTTGAAGTTTGTTTAGGTAAAAGTTCTTCCAGTACCTTTGTTAATTTTAGAGGTATTTGTATTTTAGCACTGAACTTTTATTAAGAGCTTAAGGCTCAAACCTCATTTCAGTAACAACCAGCATTATTTTATCTAGGATAAGATTATTATGGATTTGAATAATGCTGCAACTATCCACATATCAAATGACTTGTTATTACCCTTTGAACCCGTGTACTACCTTTTGAGTAACGACAGGTAGGGTTGCCGTCGTTGGTGGATATTTTAGTTAAGGAGTTTCAATCCCATCCTACTCGAAGTAGATGCTACTAAATCTCTATTTAGAGGTTTAGTCAAAGAATCCGCCAAATTTTCAATTGACCTTACATAATTTAGATAAACTATTCTATCTTTGATTAATTTCCTTATGTAGTCATGTCTTAGACTTTCCATTATATACCTCATTGTATGCCTTTGCTAATGTGGCTTGACTATCACACATGATAGGTATTGAAGAAATATTCTTCGATATCAAAGGAATCTCATAGAAGAGATCCTTAAGCCACTCAGCTTCCTTCCCTGTATCTGATAGGGCTACAAATTCTGATTTCATGGTCGAGTGTGTTATGCATGTTTGTTTCTTTGACTTCCAAGAAACAACACTTCCTCCTAGAGTGAACACCCAACCCGAGGTGAATTTACTTTCACCCGTGCTACATATTCAACTAGTATCGGTAAATCCTTCTAATATCACTGGGAATTTAGTATATTGTAGACCTAATTTCTTGATTTTCTTTAGGCATCCAAGAACTTTCCCAATAGTTTTCCAGTGATCATTGCTTGGATTGCTAGTAAACATACTAAGTTTACTTATTGAATAAGTTATATCCTGTTTTGTGCATTGAACTGCATACATAAGACTTCCAATGATGCTTGCATATTCCAATGAGCAATCGTCCTTCCATCATTTTTTACTAGTTTTGAAATTGGATCAATAGGGGTACTATACTCCCTTGAGTTCAAGTGTTTGAACTTTTTTTTATCACATTCTCGATATAATGTGATTGGCTTAGGTGATAACCCCCACTAGTCTTTGAGACTTTGATACTCAAAAATAGTATCCACTTGTCCAAGATCTTTCATTTTGAAGGTGGAAGATAGTAACCTCTTCGTTTCTTCCATACTATCCATGTGATTACTTATAATCAACATGTCATCAATTTATAAGCATATAAATGTGATGTAATCATCACATATTTTAGAATATAAACATTTATCTACACTATTTCGTTTAAACCTAAATGATATTATTGCTAGGTCAAATTTCTCATGCCACTTCTTAGGTGCCCGCTTTAAACCATATAGTGATTTAACTAACTTGCATACCTTATCTTCATTTCCAGGTAGAACAAATCCTTCGAGTTGTTCCATATAGACCTCCTCATTGAAATTCCCGTTTAAGAATGTCGTCTTAACATCCATTTGATGATCATGCAAGTCATATATCAAAGCTAATGCAAATAATATCCTAATTGTTGTTATTCTTGCTACTGGTGCATAAGTGTCAAAATAGTCGATTCCTTTCTTTTGTCGGTATCCTTTGACTACTTATCTAGCGCTGAAAGTATTTAGAGAACCATCAATATTATATTTTCTTCTAAATACCCATTTACATCCAATAGGTTTGGATCCGGGTGGTAGATCGACAAGTTCCCAAATTTTATTAGACAATATCGAATCCATTTTATCTTTAATTGCATCTTTTTAAAAGATACTATCACGAGAAGCCATAGCTTCTTTATAAGTTTTAGGGTCAATTTCTATTTGTCGAACAAAAGGAATTGTTCTTACGACATTCAACTCATTTCCTTCTACTAAGTAAAAGGAGATAAGTTGAGAATCAATTTCATCCGGTCCCAAAGACTTCTCAACTCGAGTTCTCTTGCTTCCTTGTAGTTCATTAGACTCATTAATATCTTTAGAAGACATTTCATCTTGTGTTCCACTTGAGCTAGGGATATTTTCTTGATTTTTCCTTAATTCATTATCTGAAGATAACAAATCTTCAAAGAACTCTACATCACTTGATTCGATGATCACATTGGTCTCCAAATTTAGCAATCTATAAGATTTGCTATTGTTAGCATATCCAACAAAAGCACATTTGATGCCACTTGGGCCTAATTTGGTCATATTAGGTTTCGTGTTCTCGCAATACGCAAGACACCCCTACACTTTGAAGTATCCAATGTTTGGTTTCCTTCCTTTCCACAATTCATAAGGAGAAACATTTGTATGTTTTGAAGGAACTCTATTAAGTATCCTAAATGCACTTAACAAAGCTTCACCCCACAAATTAAATGGCAACTTAGCATATATAAGCATAACATTAATCATTTTTACTAATGTTCTATTCTTTCTATCAGCCAAACAATTTTGTTTAGGTGTCCTAGGTGCGAAACATTGGTTAATTATGCCATATTATTCACAAAACAAGTTAAAATCACTAGAAAAGTATTCACCACCTCTATCGCTTCTTAAAATTTTTATTTTCTTTCCTAGATGATTTTCAACTTCATTTTTATAAATCTTAAACATTTTAAAAGCTTCAAGTTTATGTTTCATTAAATACGCGTAAGTATATCTAGAAAAATCATCAATGAAAGTAATGAAATATCTATTTCCCCCTCTAGTTAACATGCCATTTAATTCACATATATCCGAATGAATTAATTTCAAAATACTATAGGTTCTTTTTACACTTTGATATGGCTTTTTAATCACTTTTTATTCTACACGTGTTTTGCATTTATAAACATTATTTTCATCATATGAAATCAAATCACACTTTTTCATACGTTTCATAGTGCTTTTACCAATATGTCCTAATCTAGCACGCCATAATGAAAATAATTCAACAATATAAGTAAAATTAGATTTATTTATTTCATTGTCAATGGTACATAATTTGACCACTCCATCACAAGAATAGCCTTTCTCCAACAAAATTTCCTTTAAGGGATAATTCAAGTTTACCGGATTCATACACACATTTGATACCCAATTTTCCTAAGAGATTTCCACTAACCAAGTTCCTATTCATTTCTGGAACATGTAGTACATGAGTAAGGATAACGGTTTTCCCGGAAGTGAAGATAATATCAACATTTCCTTTGCCAATTACTTTGGATCGAATTTCGTTGCCCATTTGAATCTTTAGATCTTCATCTACTTCTTGATAGGTTTTGAATAAAGATTTATCATATGATACATGCACTGTAGCTCAAGTATCATACCACCACCCGAGAATCTTTCCCTTGATTGCATTTATTTCGCTTGAGGTGGCCACAATCTTTTCTTCTTGAATGAAATTTATTTTACCTTCGGAGTTGTTTCTTTTTTGGTGTCTACAATCCTTTGCTTAGTGTCCAGATTTACCACACATAAAGCATCCTCCTTTGGTCTTCTTCTTGGACTTGTTAAAGTTCCTTGAAGGCTTCCTTTTGTTGGATTTTGTAGGCGGTTCAGATTTCTCAACAACATTGGCTTTAGAAGTTCCTTCCGAAGAATTTTCACTTCTATCACGCAATCTGGATTCTTCTTCAATTCGAAGTTTTTTTTGTAATTGTTCCAAATAATAATTTTCGGAACTATGCATTATTTTCTTCCGATATCCTTTCCAAGCCCCCCCGGGAGTTTAGCAATTATAGCCCCCAATTGAAAGGTCTCTGGAATTTCAATCTTTACCGCTTTTAATTTGTTGACAATAACTTGTAACTCATGTACTTGGGGAAGAAGGGGAATATTATCTAAAAATTTAAAATCAAAGTACTTTGAAATTAAAAATTTCTTAGTACCTTCTTCTTCTGCTTTATACTTACTCTCCAAAGCATTCCAAATTTCCTTTGCCGATGTAGTATTTGTGTATAAATCATATAGACGATCTGATAGCGCTTTCAAAATGTGACTGCGACAAATTAATTCACCTTCTTGCCTTTTTTGTCTTTCAGCCCTAATTGCTTCGGTTTCTCCATTTGTAGGTTTTGGTAGAGGCGTCAACTCGAGATCTAAGATGTAGAAGATCTTCAATGCAGTAAGAAGAAGCTTCAATTTGTCTTGCCAACGCGTGAAATTTGTGCC